CTGGGCTGGCGAGGGCTGTCTGGCGCTCCACGTGCCTTACTGCGTTTCCCTTGCACCTCCCTCCGGGTTCACGTCCTCACTCCCCTTAGCAAGTGTGGGACCTGAGGCACAGAGAGGTGAGGCCACTGGTTCAGGGTCACGCAGCTAAGTAAGGAACAGAACCAGCATTTGAACCCAGGCAGCCAGACTCTAGGCACAGTTCAAAGTGGTTTAAACCAATGAGCTGTGTTGTGACACAGGTCCAGGTTTGCATCTGTGACTTGGTTCCTCCATCTTATCGGAGAATTGTGATGAATAAGACAGTAATGGTTTTAAGAGACACATAACAATGATTGACAAGACCCTGTGGATTCTGGAACCTACTACTGGGTTCAAATTCTAGTCCTAAACACTTAGTAGCTATGTTACTTTGTGCAAATTACTTAACCTTGCTGAACCTCTGTTTTCTCATTAGCAAAATGAAGATGTGATTATAGTCACATCTACCCAGTAGGATTGCTTTGAGATTTAAGATAACACCGGTAGGGCAACTGCTTCTTATTTTACATTTACTGCTCTTGTTTTTTAACCCAAGGGTGATGTTCTTAATCAAAAGGCCATGAGTGGTCCATGGGCCCACTGACAGGAGATACAGCCTAGCAGTATGGGGTTTTCTGGTATGTCAGAGTTGGCATCAGGACTCGGGAGCTCAGGGCCCTGGTTACAGGGAATTACCCAATAACTGAAAAGGAGTCCCTGCCTCCTCTGAGCATGACAGACAAGCTGTGTCCCCATAGGCCAACTGTGGTCCCAGAGGAGCTATGACATCAGAACCACTGCGTGGTTCTCAGGACCTCAGGACCTCTCAGGACTGCCTTGCTGGCGGTGACCTAGGGAGGAAATCTAACCTGGAGCTGGGAGGTTTGGCAACCCAGGTGGGAGCCATCCAGCACCCTTTGAGGGGTGTGTGTGCACCTGAAGGCCACAGTCACCACCACAGGAAGGGAACTGGCCACCTGTGGCCTTTGTGCAGCAGGAGGCAGTGAGGGGCGGTACCAGGGACTAACTCAAGTTTATCTGGCCCCAGAGTTTGGGGCCTGACCCAGACTACTACAGCTGCGTCCTCTGCTCCCCCAGCCAGTGACTGGTCTGGGTGCACTCGACCTGATGAGGGAACTGGGACTGAGAGTGGGGGCATGTGGCTGCCACATGGTGGGGGGGCAGGGTAGGGCCGCAGCTGGAGGGGTGTCTGGAGGTCTGGCCTCTGGCTCTCAGCTTCCTCGTCTGGACAGTGGCCATTTGGATTCCACTCTTGAACTCTTTCAACTCTGGTTCTGGGGAAGTCACTGGGGTCAGAGAAATGAAGCCTGGCACAGGTGATGTCTCTGGGCAGAAAGTGCCCTGGGCCTCCCCACTAAGCCTCACGTTCCCATCTGCAGAGCACAAGTCCATGCAGTTCAAACTTTTATAAGCTGCTTGCCCTTTTCTTAAAATGTTATCGGGCAGCCAATCCACAAATCTGCCTGCAGCCGTCCTGCTCTGGGATCACTGTGGCTGGGTTCAAATCCAGGCCGGAACCATTATGCCTCAGCCTCCTGCCTGTTAAATGGAGAGAAGAATGGCATCTGCTGTGCAGGGTGGGCGCCCGTGCCACTGTAGGAAGTGTTCCCTGTGTGACCACCACCTACTGCCTGCCCAGCCCACGGGGGCCTCGCCAGCCCTGCTCACCAAGTGATGCCAGCATGTCATGCAAGTCCTCCTTGTCAATGAAGCCGTCGCGGTTCTGGTCAATCATGTTGAAGGCCTCTTTGAACTCTTGGATCTGGGACTGATCAAACATCGCAAAGACATTGGATGTGGCCCTCTGAGGCCGCTTTTTGGTGGTCTTGGCCTTGGCCCGTTTGCTCGACATCTTGGCTTCAAGATGGTGGGTGGATGAGGCTTCCCTGCAGGAAGGGGATGGAGCAGGGGGTGGGGAGCTTATTAAGATCCTGGGCCAGGGAGTCTTCCCACAGAGAAGATGGTGCTCCTGCCACCTATCTTGCCCCAGAAGTAGACAAGTGGGGGCTCTGTGTGATGTCAGAGTACTTCCTCTTGGAGCCATTTCCTCACCTGAAAGGGGGAAGCGAGGAGGAGTGCCCAGCGGTAGGGATTAACTTGCCAATATAGTGTCTGTGAAGCGCCTGGTGGGTCAGAGTAAGCTATTTTTGCTGTGATTGGGTAAGATGCTCAGGAATGGGCTTGCTGCCAGCCATCTCTATGCTTTATCTCCTTTACTCCTCATTACCCTTTACACTCCCCATCTCTTTCTCCCCAAGTGGCAAGGTCAGAGGAGCAGTGGGCACTATGAGGGCACTGCTGGGGCTGCCTTCCAGGTTCCTCCTCACCCCAGGAAGGATCTCTACTGGCCTCCCTGCATTTCTGACATTCCTTGCCCTCTCTTTCTCCCCATCCCTCTGGATCCCAGCTTTGGACGTTCTGGAAAGTCCTTCCCCCACCAGTCCACCCTGGACCAGCTCTGGTGGGGAGGGTGAAGGATTGGCTCGGTTTGGATCTTGTTCCTCATTCTTGCTTCCCAGGGCTTATATAACTGTGTCAGCCTCCCCCAGCTGCAAACCCAATTCCTTGTCACCTATGTTTAGGCCTGGCCTCCACAGCCAGTTTTCCTATCCATGTAGACCTGGGTCTTCACTTTGGAGCCCTTGAAGATTCCTGCTATCACTAGCGCAAATCTGGCCCTTCCAACCTGGCTTCCAAGGCCCTGTATGAAGAACCTTTCCTCACTGACTGACTGGCACCTTCACTGTGTCTCTCTTGTCAACTGTGACCCTTGCAAACTGAACTGCTGGCTGTTCTCTGGACACTCCCTGTCTTTGCCCCTTGGTCCCGTCTCTGAAATATTATTCCTTCTGCTGTCCAGTTCTTGAGATACCCCTTGGAGAACTGTTCCCTTTGCCCTTATTTTGGCAACAAGGCCTCTGACTCATGATCACTCAGTGCTGGCATAACTCTGATTTACACCAAAGCCCACAGCTGGCTAACAGACGCTTATTTAATGAATGACTGTGAGGACAACTGCAGCCCCCCTCCCCCACTATACAGATGGGGAAACTGAGGGCCAGCGACGGGTACTTTGCTTGAACTCTTTTGTCATGGCCTTGAAAGCCATGGCTGGGGCCTTTGTGGACCTGGCAAGAGGCCTTAGGACTGTACTACCCCTTCCTGTGGTCCAGGGTCTTCCTTGCTTCACAAGCTGCTTCTGCCTGTTTTGTTTTGATTTGTTTTTTACCCCAAAGTGTGTGGTTGTGTCTCTTGATCTGTCTCTAGGCCCATGACCTTTTCACATCATTCTTGGCCTTTGGATCTTAATCCCTGAGCTGGGATCCTGGCCAGCCCCAGTGTCCAGGGTCTCAGCACCGTGAGAGCTACTGCTTACCTGTGCCCCACACCTTTCCCTTGGTATATCTCACATGGCCAAGGGGTGTAGGCAAAAGCCCTTCTCACTCTGGACCTGGGCAGTGGGGGTGCCATCCTCCTCTGTGGCTAGTGCTTAGTCCTCCCTGAGCCCCACATTCTCCCAGAACTGTAACTCCAGGCACCCACAGAAGGCTGCTGGGGACAAGTGCACTGTGCCCAGCAAAAGCGGTGATGGCCACTATCACTGCAAGGCTCCAGCGGATGGTCAGAGCTCACCCACTGCTGACTGATGATGGCTGGGTACCCCCTTCAATCAGGGAGCAGTGACATGCCCGAGCACTGTGCTGGGGACTGTCTGTCCCAGCAACCTTGGGGTGCAGGTTCCCAAGCAATAAGTAGAGAAGAGCATACCTGAGAGAGGGTACAGTCTAAGTAGAAGCTAGGACCCTGGGCAAGATGTGGGTCAAATGGGGACAAGTAGCCCTTGAGGCTCTTTGAGGCTTGGACACAGAAAGGAACATCTGTCTTGAGAGGCTGAGGCAGCTTGTGCGCTCAGGGTCTGAGGGCTCCGAGTGAGAGGTGGGCTCAAAGGCAGGCTGGGTTCCTGCCACTCTCAAAGCCCCTCCCCAGGTACTAGACAGCAGGATCACATACATCTGACACCTGGCCCGCCAGAGTAGATGCCACACCCCTACGGGTGTCTGAAATCCCACCATACCAGAAACACAAGGCCCATGACCCCCATCACCTCAAGGTCCTTGTGGCTAGCAATGCCAGATGGCTGCTCACAACCCCCTCAGGCTGCATTACTGACTCCTGAGAGCAGCCGGAGGGCATGGGATCTGGTAGCCCCAGCCCCTCTCCTTGTCTGACCCTGGGGTGAGTAGGACACATCTTCACCTCCCGCAGGCAAGGCTGGGCAGATGACCCCAAGTGGGAAACCTGGGTACATGGCTCCCAGCCTTGTGTGTGAGGAGGTTACCTTGGTCGCTACCCCTCTCAACCCGGCCTGGGCGTGGGACACGGAAAGGGGGGGGTGTCTCCTGACACCAGTTCCTCCTCTGTGGCACGGGGCTGCTGGGGGCAGGGAGCTCGGGTCACCAAATCCCCGTGGCCCTCCTGAGCATCCCAAAGCTCTGCGCTTGGCCTCTCTAACTCCACAGCCAGAGGCAGGCCTGAACAGTCTTCCTTAGCTAGTGGAAGGACCACAGGCTCCCAGGACCCAAGATGTGCTCCCAGCTGCCCCATGGGAGCCAAAAGGCTGGTGAAAGCCCAGCAGCTTAGCAGCTCAGCAACTCGAAGCCCCTGCCCCAGCCCAGCAGCACCCGTGGCTGTCCTGCCCAGGCCTGGTCCCAGCCCCGCCGGCCTGGCTAGCTCCCACCTGGTGCAGCGAGGGCTCCCTGCGTCTCGGAGCCGAGCGGAGCGGTTGTAGAGTGCCGCTTGCACGGTCGGCCGGTCCGTGGGTCTGTCGGCAGTTGGGGCGGGCTGGGCGAGTGGGGGCGGCGGGCTCTAGCCGGCCTTACAAGGCAGAAGAATGTGTACGCGGTGGGGCGGGGCAAGGCTGCCTGCCCGGCCTTATTTGGGCGCAGCCCAGGGTGCGGTGCAGAGGTGAAGCTGGGGGTGAACCCCCAGGTCTCAGCCTTCCCGACCTGGGAGGCAAGAGTGGGTAGAGTGAGTGTGGGTTGGGCCAGCTGGGGAAGGGGATTTATAAGAGTCAGGACATCCAAAGGGCCTCCAGTTCTCAGACCTTCCCATCTCCAGTCTCCCTAAGTCCTACTTCTCGGCATCCACTTTTCCAGAATGAGGAAAGAGGAGAATCAGAGAGGACCTCTCTCGCATTCCATAGCACAGAGCACACAGGATCTCTCTGTCTGGACCACAGTTATCAAAGACGGGAAAGTTTCAGCATTGATGTAACACTACTACCTGATCAACTCTCCTTACTCAAGTTTTGCCAACTGTCCCAATAATGCCCTTTATAGGAAATTTTTTTCTTGTCCCAGGAGCCAATCCAGGATGATATGTTGTTGTATTTCTTTAGCCCTTCTAGGGGTTTAGGGTATGGAAGGTGTAGCACATTTGCATAAAGTTGAGCAATTAAGTGTACAGTTGAGTGGTATTAAGTACATTCACATTGTCTACAGTTGTCACTGGATCCATTTCCAGAACTTTTATTTTTTTAAGATTTACTTTTTAAATGTATGTATACAAGAACTGGCGTATAGGCCAGAGGTGCAGGGGGTGTGTGTGAGTGGATTCATCAGAGAGAGGGGAGCAGAACAGGCAGGTGGACTGAAATACACTGCTGAAGGAGCAGCGGGGGGGTCAGGAGAGGTCTGCCATGCCATGTGGGTCAGCTCCCTGGCCAGGGATCAAACTCATGCTGCAGTGGCTGCCTATAGCTTCACAGTGCTGAGACTTAACCCTTTGTGCCACCAGGGAAGCCCCATAGGAATTCTTTAAATATTCTGGATATTATTCCCTTATCAGCATATGATTTGCAAAATTTTTTTTTCATGCCATGGCTTTGTATTAAAATATATTAAAAAATTGATGTAATTTATGTACCACTGGAAATTCACCCTTCTAGTGTACAATTCAACAGTTTTAGAATATTCACAGCTACATAGCTTTCACCACTCAGCAATTCCAGAACATTTTTATCACCGCCTACCCCCAGACTATACCCACTGGCAGTCCTCACCACTCCTCCCTTTCTGCCTAGACAACCAACGGTGTCTTTTCACTTTTAAAAATAAATACGTTAAGGCCCTCCCTGGTGGCACAGTGGGTTAGGATGCAGCACTGCAAGCTGGCCAGAGCTACTTCAGTCAGTGCATTTGATCCCTGGCCCTGGAGATCCACATGGCACGGCAGACCTCCTCTGACCTGCCTGTTGTTCCCCCTCAGAGTGTACCTTGTTGATCTGCCTGTTCTGCTTCCTTCTGTCTCTGATGAATGCTCTCACTGCCCCTGCTCCTCTGGCCTGTACCCCAGTTCTGTATTCACAAATAAATAATCTTTAAAAAAATAAATGTTAAAGAGTGGAATTGCTAGATCATTGGTAACTGCTTAATTTTTTAAAATCACTTCCAGGCTGCTTTTCAGTGCTGTACCATTTCACATTGCCCTCAGAATGTATAAGTGCTCTAGTTTCTCCCCATCCTTACCAACACTCATCTTCTAGTCATCCCATCAGGCATGTAGTATTTCCCTGTGGTTCTGGTTATCATTTCCCTACTGACTAGTCTTGTTGAGTAGCCTTTCTTGTGCTTTTTTTTTTTTTGAGATTTATGCATAGACCTTCCTGGCGGCACAGGGGTTAAAGTGCCACATTGTAAGCAGGCCTAGCAAGCCTAGTACCTTCAGTGAGTTTGAGCCCCAGCCCTGGAGGTGACTCACATGGCTTAGCAGACCTCTCCTGACCCACCCATTGTTCCCCTCAGCAGCATACTTTGTGCATCTGCCTGTTCTGCTCCCCACTCTGTCTCCGGTGAATCCTCTCACTGCCCCTGTACCTTTTGCTTACACCTCAGATCTGTAACCATAAATAAATCTTTAAAAAAATTAATGCACACAAGAATTGGGCTACAGGCTGGGGCAGGGGGGTAGGGGAATTCATCAGAGAGAACAGGGAGTAGAAGAGGCAGATTGACTGAAATACACTGCAGTGGGCGAGACAGTAAAGATCTGCTGCACCCTGAGGGTCAGCGCCCTGGCCAGGGATCAAGCTCAGGCTACAGTGGCTGCCTATGGCCTCCTAGTGCTGAGACTCAGTTCCCTGAACCACCAGGGAGACCCTTTACTTTCTTTGTAGTTTCAATAAACACAATTTTAACTTTGATTAAGTTTTTTTTTTTGTTTCCTGTGATTTTAGTATGTATGAGGACCTACCTGTTTTAAGAGTTTTATAGTTTTAGCTTTCAAATTTAGCTCTTTAACTCACTTTTGAGTTAATTTTGTATATGGCATGAGTTAGGAGTTCAGCTTCTCCTGCAAGCGGCCATCTAGTTGTCCTGGCACCACTACAAAGAAAACTTTTTCCATTAAGATGTCATGGCACCATTGCTGAAAAATCAGTTATCCATAGATATATACGTCTACCTTTTTTTTTTTTTTTAAAGATTTAAAGATTTATTTATTCATACAGAACTGGGGTACAGGCCAGAGATGCAGAGGGTGAGAGGCTTCACCAGGAAGAGAGTGGGGAGCAGAACAGGCAGATTGACAAAGTACACTGCTGAGGGGAGCAGCAGGCGGGTCAGGAGGTCTGCTGTGCCATGTGGTCACCTCCGCCATGTGGTCACGTCCAGGGCAGGCGGGATCAAACTCATGCGGAAGTGGCTTAAGCTTCTTAGTGCTGTGCTTTAACCCGCTGCGCCACCAGGGAGGGAACCATATACGTCTACCTTTTGTCATACTGCACATACTTCATTAGTCTTGTGTTGCTTTGTTATCACTAAGTAACTTTGTTCTTTTTCAAGATTATTTTGTTACTCAGGGTCTCTTACATTTTCATATGAATTTTAGAATCAATCTCTGCAGAAAAAGTGTTTGGCAGTTTGAATAATTCTTTATCTGCACATTAATCTGGGCGAGTATTGCCAAGTCTTCTGATCCAGTACATGGGATGCCATTCCTTTGATTTTGCTCTTTACTATGATGGTTGCCAAATGGTGACTTTGTAACCCATCCCACTCCTTTTTACTTTAATTAGCTGGTGGACATACTAATTTTGAGATTGTCAATCAAGATGGTGAGTGGGAAATGTAAGAGTTCAAGGCAGGTATAGGTGTAGATGTTGGAGTTGTCAGTCTGTATCTGGGGTCGGCTGGCATGTTTTGGGAAACAAATCCTGGTGCTGGCTGGGCCAGGATTCTGTGACTCCTTGGAGGCGAGGATGAGAGAACTAAGCCTGTCTCATGAGAAGCTGCGCTCTGTGGAAGGAAATATACACACGCGGTCAGGTCAAAAACGGGTAAAAGGTCTTACCTGACATTCAGGGACTGCTCAGCACTGCGCTTCCCTGAGCAGCAGCTTGGCCTCTCGCTTCTGCCTCTGTCACTAGGCCCCTTACTGCCAGTTTTGAGAACTCTTTTCATCTTTCAAAGCCCAATTCATGTATTGGCGCCTTTTCCAAGTCCTGCTCCACCTTCCCACAGTAACTATTTAGGAAATAGTTCTTGAGGTCCTCCTCTTTGATTAGGCACTAAGACTGGTGATTCCTATCCTCAGTTTCCTGGTAGGGCCCTGTTCCTACCCTTAGGGAGCCCCACTGTCTTCCAGTAGGGAGAGATGTTCACATGTAATTGCACCGACCTAACTGTCATCACATCAATGACGGCAGCAAAAATGAGCGAAGCGACTCATGCTCCATGCAGTAGGGGGTTTGCGCCAACCTGGCCTGGCCAAGGTGTGCTCAGAGGACTTCTCTGCTGAGATGCCTGACCGCTAAGGAAAGAGTAGATGTCAACTGCATAGCCACTGCTTCCCGTGTGTGAGGCCTGAGGTGAGACTGCAGGGCAGGGAGTAGGGGACAGGCTTTCCTGGGTGGTGTAGCTAGAAAATGAGCAGGGGTCTCCAGGGCCAAGGTGAAGCGGCTGGACTTTATTCTCTTGGCACTGGGCAGGCCATAGAGTGGTTCTGGAGGGAACAGAACTTTTGAGAAGTCCCTCTGGCTAACATGAGACAGACCAGCAGGGACCCCATTGATGTTTTTAGATTGGCAAGATTCAAGACGGGCCAGGAGACACACCTTCATTTAAAATTTCTCTTCTACACCTGTCCAGTGCTGGTGGCAGGTGCACCAACGCAGGCTGGCAGCCACTTGGTCCTTGGCCCTCAGGCCGCTGGTGGCAGTGACTTCATCCTGCTGTCCTGGACAGGAGATTCCTGAATCTAATGCTGCTCCTGGCTGTGGCTGGATCTTCTCTGCTCTCAAGGGGATGAGGAGGAGACTCCACAAGGCTTGGGGACCTGGAGGAGGACTTTGGGGTCTAGAAAGGGAAAGTGGGCTGCTCCCATGTGCTCAGATCTGCAGCCCTATAGGTGCATAGGGGTAGTGTACCCTGGTACACTGTAGCCTGCAGAAGGGTGCTGGAAATGCAGGTGCTAAGGGCCATTCCCAGCTTCTTTGGGAAGCTGCTCTTAGCCTCTCCCTGAAGCGACAAATGGCTCCCATCTCAGTTGGAGTCTTGTCCAAACTGCTGAGTCTGAATGTAGTCATGAGAAAACAAATCCAAATTATACAAGTCTACAAGGTACTTGGATACTTCAACATCATTGTCATGAAAAAACAAAAGCAACCCAAAGAAGCAGGAAAGCTTTTTGATTCAGTGAGACTAAAGATACAGGATAACTGAAAACAGTGACTGAACCTTGACTAGATACTACGTAGAAAAGGAAAAGCCACAGCGGACACTTGCAGTGCTTCAGTACCACTTGTTTGTGAACTGGGGAGTATGATAGTGGTTCGTGGTCTTGCAGGAATGTACTTATATAGAGTTGCATGATGTACTTGGGGGTGAACTATCCTAGTGTCTGCAGGTTACTTTCAGGTGGCCACAGGGGAGAAATGTGTGCGCACCTGCGGAGTAAACAAATATGACTAAACAGTGACAACTGATGACTCTGGGTAAGGGACCTAGTGTCCCTTATACTGTTCTTTCAGTTTGATATGGGCGGGTGGGTCTCTGAGCTGCTGCTCCAATGGGGCTGGGAGTAGGGTCCAGACTCTGCCTAACATTTGCCTCGCTCCCCATCACCGGGAGGGCAGGTTCCCTCCCTGAGGCCCCAGAGTCACCCTCAAGGCGCTTCCCCTGTCATAGCAGAGACACTCAGGCTCTGGTTGTTATATCTGAAGGCATGAGGGTCCACCCTGACCCCAGATCCCCAAGAGCTGTTAGCAGAGCTGGGCTGCAAGAACACGTCCCCCATGTATTCTTCCACATGAGTGTGTCTGGCTTGGTGGCCAGGGTGTCTGCAAACCTTCTTACTTACCCTCAGGTCACCCCCAGCAGGTTTCAGGATGTGCAGGTCCAGGAAGTGGCCAACTCCGGGAATTGAGCAGAGCCACCCTTGAGAACTGGCTGTTCAGCTACCACTAAGAGGGCCCATGTGAGGAAGACCCTGTGAGGGTTGCGTTGGGCTGGGCTAAGGTGGGTGTTTCCAGAGTCTAGCCAAAAGGCATGTTATTCAGTACCAGCAGGCATTGGCACCTGTGGTCCCTTCTGCACAGGAAGGACTTTCCCCAGCCTGCCACCCCACCCCTCAGGTTGGCTAATGTCCACTGTCACTCAGGGCTTCACCAGAACACCCCTGCGCACTGGCTTGGGGGCACTGTCATAGCTTTCTCACCACCTGATATAGTCTCGACCTTGTCTGAATCTGTCTCCCCTGTACCTTCATCCCGCAGTAGGCCCGGTAGAGGGGTGTTCAGGAAGTGCATTCAGTATGGGTAACTGTTAGGGTGGAGGTTAATACCTACTACAGGGAGGCAAATACCCTGTATCCCAGGAGAGTTCAGAGTCGGCATCTATTCAGGGGTGGGAGCACTTGGTGAGGGCTGCCCATCTTGGCTCCTTCTTAGCAGCTCATAAGCACTGATTTCTCACAGGATGCTGGTAGGTAGTTACTGCTCACTCATTTTTCAGGTGAGGAAAGCGACAACTTAGTTTCCTTGTCCAGAATGTTACAGAGTTGATGGTGTCAGTCTGTCTCCATAGAGTTGTCTTTTGGGAAGAGGGTCTGGGGGTTGATCTGCTGGGGGCATCCACTCCCGCCCACTCTGGCCCAAATCCACTGCAATAACACCATGAGCCCTTGGTACACGTTACCTCATTTATTCTCACAACATGCCTGTGAGGTAGGGAGGGGCAGGGACTTGTCCCCATTTTACAGAGGAGGAAGTTGAGGCACACAGAGGTCAAGTGACTTGCCCAAGGTCACAGACGGCCAAGCTGGAATGGGGCCCCAGAGCAGGCCCTCAGTTCTTCTGGGGGCCCCCTGCAGCAAGTGCTGGACACGAGGACGTGTCAGCGCTGTAGTTGTGTACACAGTAGAGAGCAGCCCTCTTGCGCTGAGCTGGCTGCGGGCTGGCCCTGCCCTCCCATCCTCCCCACCCCGCCCTGCAGGCCCGGCATTGCAGCTCAGGGCTCATGACACCCTGGGAGTGAGGCTGGGGGTGCAGAGGAAGAGAGGAGGAGGACTGGGGTTAAAAAAATAGAACAGAACAGAAAATTCAGAGGCCAGGCAGGTGGGCCCATAGTGGGACAGGGTGGGAAAAGAAAAAAAAAAAGGGGGCTGCTTACACACAAGGTCTATATTTTTACACACACTTGTACACACACCTAGATATAGTACATGTAAAAATATATGCTATTCACACACCCGCCTCCTGCCAGGTGCCCCGAGAGCCAGCGGTGGCGCTGGTGGGCATGGGTGAGCAGATGGGCGTTTGTTAAATATACACTCTAAGGTCTATGTGCATATGTACACATACGTACAGACAGCCGCCTGCCCCTCAGGTACTGTACACAGGCTCAGCCAGGGACAAATAACTCCTGGAAAATGGGGTCCCCCTCTTGAGTGCCCCCTGCAAGTTACTCTGAGTCATACATGTTGCTGAAGGAAGGAGGGGCTGGAGAGAAGACATAGGCGGGAGTCTGGAGTGTGAACTGGCTTTTTACCTCATTTTCCTCCCCAGACTTAAACCCTCCTCTCCTCACTCACCTGACCCTGCCTAGGGCTGGTGGATGGCAGTGGGAGGACGGCTGTGCCGGGAGGACCTACATCTGCGTGTGCACGTGTGTTGCGTGTGAGCACTTGGTGGGGGAGGGGATGCATGTCCATCTCTCTGTCCTCTGGAATCTCAGCCATACAAAGGGCCGAGAACCACACAGAGCTGCTAGCCAGGATGGTGACCCCTGTGTGAGTTCTGAAGGGAAAAGAGAAAAACATAAGAATGAAAACTCCAAGGTCAGAGCAGGGGGAGCTGGGGAAAGGAAGGACATGGCAGGTGCCCAAGGCTGCCCTTGGACTGACGTCGTCTTGTAAACAAGCTAGTTTAAGTTCTCGTTAGATAGAACAAGTAAAAAGACCGCAGTCTGGCGGCTGGGCCGGGGAGTTGCCGAAGTCCATCTATCTAGTCCGCCATGGCCGGCAAGAGGAAAAAAGTGTTTTATAGTTTCTGTTGATTCTTTTGTGTGTGAAGTCTTCATAACCTAAAGCTGGGAGGGACCCAAAAAAGCCAAATTGTGAGCCCTTGGATGCGTCAATTGGAAAGTTGGCTCAGGGTCTCTGGACAGAATAACCATACTAAAGGTTGAGGAAATTTTGTTCCATTTGCATTTAGTTTGTGGTTTTTTTTTTTTGTTTGTTTTTGTTTTTTAAATGACTTAAAATGGTTTCCTTTCTGGTCTCAGAGCCGGGTCTGGGCCTCAGGGACATAAATCTCGATGCTGTCTGCACTCTCTGTGGCTGAGTTCTGCCGCACAGAAGCTGCCCGCTTGGCCGCCAGCAGTCTCTTGCGGGCCTCCTGACGCTGCTTGTCCCCGGCGTCGGAGGCCTTGTCACGGCTCACTGCCGGCTTGGATTTGGCTGGCTTCTTTGGGACTGGAGGGGGTGGTTTCTTCTCTTCCTTTAGTGAGACAGTGAGGAGGGAAGAGAAATAAAATAAAGGTGCCACGTTTTGTGTGGCACTACCCCCACTATATGGTGGCAGCTGGACTCTCCAGCCTCCCCGCATCAAGCAACACATATTTGTTATCAGGAAGCCACAAGAAGCGATGATAGTGGGAACAGCACAAGGCATGGGAGCAAAAAAGCAGGCGTAGAATCCTAGACTGTCCTAGCAGGAAGGGATGGACAGATCACCGTTCCCACCCCTAAAAGCCTGACACTTGGGACTTAAATTCTCTGACTCCCAGGTCACATGCTGTTCTAGGGACTCCGAAGTCCCAAGGGCCGGAGTCACTGTGTCTCTTTTTTACAGAAAGAAGTATGAACCCCAGACAACAGGCTGGCCTCAGGAGCAGATATGGGTCCAAAGCCCACCACCCCTGGCAGCACGGCCCCAGGGGAAGGACTGGTTTTTTGCCAAAGCTCCAACAGCATAGCTACACTAGTGCTCAAGGTGTGGGCATGTGTCTACTGGGAGCCCCATTTACTGAACATGCAGGGAAGGATGGGGGGCATGCTTTGAGGGGGCAGCTTCAACTACACAGAGCGAGTGGCATGCTGGACAAGCGCCAGGCATGGACCCCGCGCACTGATGGACGTGAGCCCCCAGCTCAAAGACGACACACTGAGAAGGGAGCCAAGCAGCACTGACCGATGTGGGCAGCGTTATTGCCGACCAGGAATTTGTCCCTGGACTTCCCCTCCGCACTGCTCCATGCTCACCTTCCTCTTCTCGGGGGTCTCCACCAGCTGCCAGCTGTTGGCCTTGAGGTGGTAGAGCTCATCAAACTTCATGCTGATGTCCTCGATGGACAGCTGTAGCAGGTCCCAGAACCCTGCCAGGTCCTGGGCTGTTGGACGTGGGTTGGCATCAGGGTTCTGTGGGGCAGATGGGAATTAGAGGGGCAAGCCAAACAGAGGCTTGCACCCCACCCCAAACATGATGTCCTAGCCATAGCTGAGTTCTCCATGCCTCGTATTGGTAACCTGTTGTGAACGTCAGGATCTGCAGGCACGAATGCAGTCCCTGGTCACCCCATCTTTGGGAGAAGACAGTCCCATCCTGAGGGGACCAAGATAGGGCTGAAGGCCCTGGTGTCCCAGGCCATGGTCCAGTAGTAGAGCAGGGAGAGCTGGACCACTCGGGCAGGTGTGATTACAGACTCCATGTGTTTTCTCTCTCATCATTCTGTTCTGTCAACATATTCCTCATTCTGATTGCCCCAGATCCCTACATGTCCTGAAAGATACATTCGTCACCACTGTCCTCCACTTCTATGAGTGCACAGCCCCTGGCTAGCAGGAGAGATTTTCCACAGGAAAAGTCATCTTCCTAACAGGTAAGTGAAAGGGAAGGAAATCCTGCAAGCTGAGTGGTGGTATTTCATTAGTTCTTACCTTGACTGGCGCCTCCTTGGAGCATGTTTTATATCAACAAGTAGGAATAACGGATTTTTAATGTTTATGTAGCTGTTTCTTAAACAGAGTTCACTTTTATATTTCAAAAGGTACTAGAGACCTGAAAGGACCATTCCTAGCACTAGGCAGTGACAGGCATCACTATCTTCCTGCTGTGAGGGAATAGTACCTCTGGGGGAAGTGCTCAGAGGCCGTGAGCAGCTAATCCAGCTGAGGGTCTGGCAGGCAGCCAGTGCTGGAAGAATCACACTCACCAAGTTTTGCTCACAGAGGCCCCGGAACTGCTGGAATTTCTGGGACATCAGTAGCTGAGCACTGCCCACAGCACTGAGGACCTTTCCTAAGACTGAGAAAGGAGAAAAAAGACTGAGCAGAGAGCAGAGTCTGTTAGGTGGGAATCAGGGTCCTGACTGTCTTCTCCTCACCCCACCTTAGGACAGAAACCATCATCTAGGAATGGCAGTTGGTTTTCAGTTGTTACATGTTGTAAAAGATGTAAAAGCACAAAGTGAACCCCACCCCCTAGATCCCCAGGATATAGTAAGGCAGTGAATTTAAATGGGAAACTTTCCTAGGAAATCAAATTCTATCACAGACTCAAAGGTTAGATTTTGTTTTTCCTTAAGAACCTGAAGTTTAAATTCTTTCCAGAGAAAAGGAACCAGGCCTATGTAGTTATACAAAACCATCAAGTAATCTATATACACCCTGTCTTGTACATTCAAACTATCCCAAAATTAAATAATCTTAGAAAATGACAACCTATTGCAGGAGCCCTGAGAACAGATAGGACACAACAAGAATAGATGACTTTCACTGAGACCAGAAATTTAACTGTTAGAAGAGTTAACCAATACCTATTTTCTAACACAGGGATACAAGGTTAAACTTTTAGTGTGACTTCCAGTTTTAAATGGGGGCATAAAGACTCTACTGCCTTCTAACCTACCATCACTTGAAAAGCACATTATCTCTGATCTGGAGGAGGTAGATGAGAAAGCTTGCCACATGGCAGTGATTTCTACGCTTGGCAGACTCTTGGGGTGGAAAGTATCTGATAAAGATGGCACTTTTAGGGGAGAAGCCAATAAATAATATGTTACTTAAAATAGGGCGTACGATTTCAGTAGTAACTTTCCTGAACCTGGTTTAGTACCAAGGGGGCCCTCACAAGCAGCCCTATGGTTGCCTAGGAGAAGGCAGTGCTGAAGAACATAAGCCTGCCTTATGAATTCCTGTCCACTTGGGATACAGGTCTAACTCCTCTTCCACAAGGATCTAGTTTATAAAAGCTCACAATTATGGTAATAGCAAATGGCAGATAGATGGTCACCAGAAAACTTGGAGAGAGAGAGGTGCTGGGAAAAGAGATGGTAAGATAGTAGAGGAGATGTAGTGAAAAACAGGCCATCATGGAGACTAGGACTAAAAAAGTTACTGGTACAAAACAAGATTAAACGCAAGTAGACATCATTTGAAATGAACAGCTTTAAGTGGGAATAAGGTGAGTGTCCCACAGGGTAGGTAGTAGAATATGAGCTTGGCTAGAGTAGAAATAAAAGGAAACTCCTGAGATTTCTGACCCATGACAGCAATCAACTGCCAATTAAACAGCAAATTTCCCACCCCAATGATGGTCAAAGTACTAAGAGAAAAATATTCTTTGGGTGTAAATGGGTAGGTAAAGTAGAACAGTCTTCAGCAAATGGAAAAACCTGATGCAAAATATGAACTTATTGTAAAAATGTTTTTGGGAACAGGATCGCTCCCTGCTCTCACAAAGGAGAGAATGAAGCCAGGAGTGTAGCCTTGAAGTCTGAAGCAAGTGTGCTGCCTGTGGGTAAAACAGTCTTTTTTATCCCCTTTGAGGAAGAAGGAGCCAGATGAGAGGTAAATAGCTGCACCCTGCTCTGCCTTCACGCATATAACACCAACATATCTTTAGGTTAAAACAACCTACATCAGAAGTTCTCCTGTCAAGAATCATTACATTTTTAACGTTAATGAATCACTGTTCTTACCTGTATGAACTAAATCAAAACTTGTGTATGTTGGACTGCTTTCCAGGTTTGAATTCTCACTCTGATTAAAGTGGATCAAAGACCTGAACATACAAGCTAAGAGTGAAGTTCTTACATGAAAAAGTAGGAACATTTTTCATTAAGAACAAAAGAATTTAGGCACATACAGTTGCAAATCATGTATTTGATAAAGGCATATAATATAAAGAATGCCTATAGTAGGCCCTCTCTGGTGGCGCAAGAGGTTCAAGTGCAGCGCTATGAAGCTCTATGTAGCTACTGCAGCGTGAGTTTGATCCCCAGCCAGGGCACAGTAGACCTCTCTTCAGTCCCTCCCGCTGCTCCCCTCAGCAATCTGAGGAGATCTGCCTGTTGTGCTCCCCACATCTCTGTCCTGTATCCCAGTCTTGTATACATAAATAAATCTTTAAAAAAACAAAACACAGAAAAGGTGTTGCCAGAGATTTGAAGAAACTGGAATCCCTATGCATAGTTGTTGGGAAAGTAAAATGGTACAGCTTCTCTGGCAAAGAGTTTTGGCAGTTCCTCAAAAAGTTAAAGATATGAGAAAAGGTATGTGGGGTAAATACTAAAGAAATGCTGGTATATTTATGCCAATATAAAAATGGTGACTAAATATTGGTAAGTGGTTCAAGACAAGTCTACAGAGAGTGGAAAGCTTTACTATACTTCACTGGATAGCCATCAGGCAAAAAATTAGTAAGGTCAGAACATATTTGATTCACTTAAACTTCTTTTACTAATATAGTCTACCTTGTTCTCACCTATATGGGAACACTCACTAATACTGATCAAATTTTAAGTCCTAAAATATATCAACAAATTTAAAAGAACTGGACATCACAAAATATTTTTGGAGGCTATTAATATGGTTAGAAAGTAGTAATGAAACTGCAACTAATAAACCCTCACACATTTAAAAACACTAAACTATGGGGGTCCACTTACAATGTAAGCTTATAGTTCTGTTAACACATAATGCTGTAAATGTATTTTAACTTTTTCTTTTCTCTAGCTTTTATAAGACAGTATATAGTACAAAATATGTGTTAATTGACTTACTGATCAGGCTTTGATCAATAGCAGGCTATTAAATTTGGGGGGAGTCTAAATCTACATGCAGATTTTCAGTTGCTGGGGAGTGGAGGATTAGGGTTTCTGACTACTGTGTTGATTAAGGGTCAACTGTATTTTAAATAACCCACTGGTCAGAGAAATCAGAGTGGAATTTAAAAGTATTACAGATTCTAACTTGTAATTTAAGGGAAGTTCAGACTTCAGAGCTTGCATTTTTAAGAAGTGAAGATGCAGCACAACCCAAAGAGGAGAAAATTAATCATAAACACATAAAGGGAATCAATAAAAGTAATAAACTGGTCAAGATAAAAAAAACTGCTACAAATTAAGATTAGGAATGAACAAAGGAATAAAGAACATCACCAAACTAGAAAACTCACCTTAGATGAGAGTTCTAAAAAACAAGTGAATAAAAGATGACAAACCAGTTAGTATCAGACAAACTGAACCATATACACATATATATATATACACACATATATATACATATATATATATATATATATATATATATATAAATATATAAATAAAAGTAAAAATAAGCTTAGTGTTTCAAGGAATTAAAAAATTACCAAAGCAAACAATTTGATAAGCTAAGATCCCAGGCAGGGAAATAATACTGAGGGGAGCCTGACATTCTGGAGTGCTTTTATCCCAAGTGACAAAAAGCTGCGAGGCTACAAAGCCAAGCAGAAGGGTGGTCAAAGGGCTGAGAAGCACTTGTGGCAGCTTCAGGGGACAGGGAGAATTTTGAGCAGGTAGGACTTAAAATTCATCAAGGCTGTACATTAAGCTGAGTAAGTTTCCAGCAGTCTTGGCTCCCACTGGGGTACCCCCTTAAGGGTCCACTCTAGGATAATCAGGAACTAGGAACAGACTAGTCAGCATAAAACCCCAACTTTCAGTGAGTTTAGTTAGTCTGGCCCTACTGCAATGGTCTGCAGTTCTTTCTTGAAGAACAGGATATCTCAGCACCTCAACGTTATCTCTGGTTTTCATGCACAGTTTCTGGCAGTGAATGAAAATGATCAAGCACACAGAAGTAGCTTTTGGTGACTGCACATGTGAGGAGAAAAGACCTACCAGGGATAGAGATACTCGAGTTATTGGATATGAGCTTTTTAAAAGAGTCCAATGGAAATTCTAGAACTAAAAAAAAAATCGTATCTGAAATTAAAACCACATAGGGTTCGACAGATTAGCTATAGGAAACACCCAGATTGAGATTCAGAGGAGGAAAAAAAAAAAATCCCAGAAAAGAGAATATAATAAGGCATAGCAATCTAATGTGTAACTACAAAGTCCAAAAGAGAGTAAATAAAATGGAGGGGATACTTGAGAAAATGAAGAATGGTCAAGACTTCTCTGAAACAGATGAAAGCTATTAAAGCTAAAAATTCAAGAAACCCTGTGAAATTTCAAGTTGGGAAATTGCTAAGAAAATCAGACCTAGGTAACATAGTAAAGCAGATAAACACAAGGAGAAAATCTTTAAAAAGCCAGCAGAGGGCAAAGAACAAATTACTCTTCAAAGGAAGATTAATAGATATTTATGAAGTATATAGCAATACCAATATTGGGGAAAAGACATTTTAAGGCAAATACTGCATTAAAATAAATACTAAAGGGAGTTCTTTAGTTAGAAGGAAAGTGATCTAAGTGTAAGCACAGAAATGAAGGAATGAGGATTTATAGGATACATGTGGTTAAAGTTAAATAACTATTGACTACATAAAGTGGAAACGGCTTGTGGCAGTGTGAATATATATAGAACTAAAAAAGGTTACTGCAACAGTACAAGGTGAGGAGAACAAGTGAATCCAAGTGTTCTAACATCCTCCAGTCATCTAAGAAGTGGTGAAGGGTGATGTAGACTAGTCTTTACAAAGCCAAGGATGCAGGCTGTGATCATTAGGATAAATCCTGTAAGAATGAACTAACACAAGAAAAGTGGAAATACCTGATAAATCTGGGAAGGGGAAAAAAGAGGAAAATCTATATTAATAAAATTTACCACTATACAAGATTAAAAAAAACCCATGTTACCTAAATAGGTATATAAAAAAATTCAAGAATTTTCTTAACCAGAGTGAGAGTATCTCCAACAAATCTACAGTAAACATACTCAGTGGTATAATGTTAACAGCAACTCCTTAAAGAATATAGTGAAGTTTCAAGACATAAGATCAATATTCAGGTGAAAACCATTTCATCAATAGAAAATGCA